GAATTATGAACACATCCACACAACATATCCAGTTGATGGGATGGATATGATGAATACTCAACTTGAAGAAAAAAAAAGCCTTTTCAGGTATCCATTACTAGTGAGCATGAGCAATCTCCTGCAAATTATGCACCTATAAATGTTGTTCCAAAAACTCCTCTGCAAAGTAAGCAATTATTGCAACCAATGAGCACAATATCTAGATCAACTCAAGATCAAGTTGATGGTGCACCCACAAATCAACTAATGAATGACAATTCAGCAAATGAAAATATTCTTCACAACATACTGAAACAACAGACCGATCTGACTGAAATGTTACATAAACAACAGAGCAGTGTCTGTTTATAATGGAGATCCTTTGAGTTTCATTCCTTTCATGCAATCTTTTGAGTACAACATTGAGAATAAAACAAAACATAACAAGGGACGTCTTTACTATCTTGAGCAGTTCACATCTGGAAAAGCCAGAGACCTAGTCCAGAGTTGTAGGCCTATGCGTATGGATTCCTGTAGTGGCTATAAGCAGGCAAAACGCCTTCTACAGGAGAATTTTGGGGATGACGTAAGAGTGACAAATGCATATATTGAGAAAATTCAACAGTGGCCAAACATCAAGGCTGAAGATTGTCAAGCCTTGCGCAGTTATGTTCTGTATTTAAGAGGCTGTTGTAATGTGATGCGTGAGTTACGTTATATGAGGGAATTGGATACTGCTGCTAACCTAAGGGTAATTCTATCAAAACTACCCTATAAAATGAAGGAAAAATGGAGAACTGCGGCAAATGACATCTTGGAGGAAACCAACCAAAGGGCTGGTTTGAAGGATGTTGTGATCTTCCTTGAGAAGCAGGTGAGAATAAGTTCAGATCCCCTCTTTGGTAATATTCAGGACAACCAAGGAGGAAGAAAGTCTAGCAATGCTGAATCAAGATATCCCACAAAAGGAAGGAACAATAGCAGGAAAAGCTTTGCAAAAACAGTATCACCTGTAGCCATTCAAACTCCTTTTACAGGCAACACCGAGGATACTAGAAGGACAGCAACTTCAAATATCCTATTTCACACAGGCTGAGCATTATGAATGAAGTTATGTATTTATCTCATACTGACACAGAGCCAGAGACACACACGTTTTTAAAGCGCTGCACATTATAACCAATCCTATACTATTATGTTGAGTTTATGAATACAAAGACCAATCAGAGGCGTTCAGATGAGTCACCGCTGAAACAGCTGTTTCGTCACTGGGCACTTGGTTGTCTCATCAACAACAAAGTGAAGATGTACGAATGTAAGTAAGATATTAATTTGACAGTGTAAACAGCTTTAGAGATTATTATGGGAGTTTTTGAGAGTGCTTGAATTCGCTGGACTGAAGTGAAATGTTCTTTGCTCTCTTTTTGTACAATGGAAGTGTTATAGGCTAATTAGTAACTTACAATGTTTTTATTAACTTCACATTAAATACAAAGTCAGTCGTATTAAATATATTTAATGGTATGACACCATATCTGGTACTTAAGTAAAAAGATGAATTTTTATGCAAAGTTAATAGATTAATACTATTAGGCTACTTTAAAAGAGAATATATTTTCATGATATATTTTGAGAATATAAAAAAATATATATATATTTTTATATTCACCCCTGCTGAATAAAACATTAGACACCATTAGAAAATGTGTAATGGTTTTACTGGTTATAATGGGACTTGTATTGGTTTTAAGGGAAACTGTAATGGACCCTTTTGGCCTCTACTGGTGATAGGTTGCCTTCTATTGGTGGCTTGTTAAAACACACTACAGAAAACCATTTTTAATGGTTTTAATTATTAAAAATGTATGGTTTGTAATGTTTGTAATGTTATTTGTTGTGGAAATCATTA